CAGGCCTTGCAATGTGGCCCGCACCGCGCTGTCATCACTGCACTCCACTGCGTTTCCATCACAGTGACAGTTTATGACTGTTCAGTAAACCATTTGGCCCGCGATTTAGGCTGGATTTTAGATTTTGGCCCCTTCTCTGATTGAGTTCGACACCCCTACTATAGAGGAATATGCAAATTTTCTGGGATGCCATCACAGTAACATTAACAACCAGCAGGCTGTGTGAGGTGGCTGTGTGGGCCAGCAGGGGGGTGAGGGACAACCAAATGACTGAACAGCAGGCTGCATGAGGTGACCAGGCTGGCAAGGGGGTTATTGAGAGATGACCAAACGACTTATCAGCAGGCTACATGGGGCGGCCTGGCTGGTACGGGGAGGGGGGGTATTTAGGGGTAACCAGCTGGGGGCGACCAGGATGGCAGGGGAGGTCAGTTAGGAGTGATCAGGCTGGCAGGCAGAGGTGGTTAGGTTGGCAGGGGGACAGTTAGGGATGATCAGGCAGGCAGGCAGATGAGTATTTAGGAGCCAGTGGTCCAGGATTGTGAGAGGGATGCCTGACTACCGGTTTCGGCCCGATAACCAGATCAGACCCAAACCAATAGTCAGACATCCCTGAGTTTCCCAGATTGGAGAGGGTGCAGGCTGGGCTGAGGGGATTCCCCTCTCCCACCATGCACAAATTTTGTGCACCCGACCTCTAGTTGTTTATAAATGTTTTTACAATGCTTTCCAAGCTATGTAGTTTTGGCCAGCGTCAATCGTAAGTGATAAATTATCTTTTGAGGGTGACTTAGGTTTGGAGCTATTTCAAAAGTAATTCAGAACCAAGTCCAATGAAATGGGGGAAATACAACTTTTGCTTGAAAATTTCTTCACAGAAAGAACATTGTGAACCAGAGTAATATTTTTCCAAAGTCAAGCAATAATTTAAGACAAGGGGCTGCAATAACTTTTTTAAAAAAATATATTTTTATTGTTTTTTTACAGAGAGGAAGGGAGGGAGGAAGGGAGGGAAAGAGGGAGAGAGAGAGAAAGAGAGAGAGAGAGAAAGAGAGAGAGAGAGAGAGAGAGAGAGAGAGTTAGAAATATCGATGAGAGCAAGTCATCTATCAGCTGGCTCTTGCACACCGCCTACTGGGGACGTGCCTGCAACCAAGGTACATGCCCTTGACCGGAATCGAACCTGGGACCTTTCAGTCCGCAGGCCGATGCTCTTTCTACTGAGCCAAACCAGTTTTGGCCTGCAATAACTTTTAAAACATGCAATACCCTCACTTCTTTTCCCTTAGGTTAGGGGTGTCGAACTCAATCAGAGAAGGGGCCAAAATCTAAAATCCAGCCTAAATCGCGGGCCGAATGGTTTACTGAACAGTCATAAACTGTCATTGTGATGGAAACGCAGCGGAGTGCAGTGATGACAGCGCGGTGCGGGCCACATTGCAAGGCCTGGCGGGACGGATTTGGCCCGCGGGCCTTGTGTTTGACACATGTGCCTTAGGTTGTCAAATAAAAAAATGACAACAGCCAATACAACAATAGTTGGTGTGAATGAGTCAAAATTATAACTATTTTCTGGGCAGATCAGCAAAAAATATTATTTTGTGGTGTGCTGCAGAATTTTAGTAATTAGTTTATATGTGACATGACATGAAAAAGGTTGAAAATTGCTGACTCAAGGGAGTATTTCTGCACTTAAGAGTTATCAAATGTCTACAAATAAACTGAAATATTTACTTGGAGATATTTTGTGTAACCACATATGAATGAGAATCTAAAGTTTCTACTAAAGGTGTTAATGTTTTTCTCCTTGGGTTTATAATATAAACATCTTTTACCATTAGTTATTGATTTCCTCACAGACTCCTTTTCTTAAAAAAAAAAAAATTAGACTATCAGGCATTTCAATGTATATATCTTTAAAATATGTACCATAACTGCCCCTGAAATCTGGTTCACAATAAAAATGTAACCACACTCCAATTTTTTAACAAATCCAAGTTACTCATTATTTAAAAAATATATATATTTTTTATTGATTTCAAGAAGAAGGGAGAGGGAGAATCATTATCACCTGCCTCCTGCACACCCCTCACTGGGGAATGAGCCCACAACCAGGGCATGTGCCCTGACCATGAACTGAACCGTGACTTCCCAGTTCATAGGCTGATGCTCAAACACTGATCAACGCTGGTCAGGCCAAGTTATTTAGTTTAAATGTAACAATAATCAACAGTTAATCATTTATTTGGACAAATAAAATTTAATACTTTGATTATTTTTGAATCAAATATAGGATGACTTCATACCATTTATTTAATAGCTAGTGGCCCGGTGCATGAAATTTGATTGTCCCTAACTGCTCCCCTGCTGGCCTGTTCACCCCTAACCGCCTCTGCCTTGCCCCACACCCAGGATCCAGGATTTCCTCCTCCGGCACCCAAGACCCAGGCTGGCTTCACCTGGGCTGGCCACAGCTGTAAGGGACTGGGACCATGGGGCAGGTGGCTTGTACCTCTCCAGGGCTGCTGCCTGGATGGTCCCCATTCCTCTATCATGAGCTCATTTGTGCTTGCCTGGTTCCCATTCCTCTCTCCCCAGTTTTGAGTGAGATGTTATGGCGTGACAGCGTGATGACCATTTGCATATTAGGTCTTTATTATATAGGATGAATATTTCTCTGACCCTCCCTAATCCATATTCTGCCAGGGGAAAAACTCTTATCTTTCAACAAATCAAGTTTCTCATTTTTTTTTAACTTGGGGAAAACAAAAAAAACTTACTAATTTTTGCACCTAGCTGAAACAATGCATAAATTTATTTACCATAAAGAACTCAGAGAAAAAGTTTACTTTGAAAGTTCATAAAATGATGTGCATTTCTTTAGTTTCATAAGACTTTTGCCAACATGCTATACGGTATTAGAAATAAAATTAATTTTACTTGAATTTACACATAATTTTAGGTTTAAAGAACGAGGAGAGAGTGGGTATTCATTCAAAAGCAAATAATTAAAGGTAAATTGATTTCTGTAAAGCATTTTAATATAGTAATTAACAGGGGTGGAAATAATCCAAGTTTCCATCAATAATGAATAAACAAAATATGATATATAGTTTCAGTATTAAAAAGGAAGAAAATTCTGACACATGCTACAACATGGATAAACTTTGAAGACATTATGCTAAGTAGAATAAACCAGTCACAAAAGGACAAATGCTGTTTGATACCACTTATATGAGGCTCCTAGAAAAGTCACATTCACAGGGACAGAAAATAGAACAGTGGTTGCCAGAGGCTGGGGAAGTATGGGAGTTTTGGTTTGAGATAATGAAAGACATTCTGGGACAGATGGTGGTAATGATTAGACAACAATCAATGTAAATGTACTAATGCCAGAGAACTGTACACCTAAAAGTGGTTAAAAAGAAAAACATTATTGGTAGTTACAAAAAGTCATGGGGATATAAAGTACAGGATAGAGAATATATTCAATAATATTGTAATAACTATGTACAGTGCCAGGTGGGTACTTAAAATATCGATGGGATCACTTTCTAAAGTACAGTATATGATTATTTGACCACTGTGCTGTATACCTGAAACTAAAGCAAACTTCTAAAACTGTAATTGAAAAATAAAATTAAAAAAGGTAAAATTTTTAATATTTTCCCAACAATAAAAAATAATAAAAACGGCTATTAAAAATAATAGAAATTTAATCAGAAGCAAAATCAGATAGGTCCAAGAAGTCTGTTGAACCTCTACCTTCATTAGGATTAAACTGTAAAGGGCAGTTTTACTTGATAAAGCCTTCAAATGTTACAAATAGAAACTCAGAGCAAATTTTCCTCATTAGGATTTCATACATTAGACAGTACACTAGGATGAAAGTAGGTAAATAGTTGGGTACTAAAGTGTAGGGCACATAAAAATCTGTTTAATTTCACTGTTTTCAAATGAGTGATGGAAGTTGGTTAGCCAAAAATGTGGGTTCTCCAGCCTTATTTTGGAAGGTGGCTGTGGGGAGAGCCAATCATTTCTTTGAAATCCTAAGATAGTGACGACACGTCATTTTTCTGATAATCAGTTCAAAGATGATGCACTGAGATTTAGAACTGTTAGTTCTCTGAGTCACTCACAAATCCAGTAAAAACTTTTAAGTAAATATGTGTCAGGTACTATCTATAATAATAAAAGCGTAACATGTTAATTAGACAGGACATCCTTTGGGATGGAGGGAAGCCCAGGTCCCTGGTGCCTGCCAGTGGCCAAAGGGAAACCCAGGTCCCGGGTGCCAGCAGCCAGGGGAAGGAAAGCCTGCCCTTGCACGAATTTCATATATTGGGCCTCTAGTGTTAGATATTTATAGATGAGTAAAATCTCCTAACCCTCAAAATTCCTTTTTAGGGTTAAACATACTGGTAAAACAAAAAGTAATACCTACATAAAAATGAAAGCAGTCATAATTTTTAAAGTCGAAGATTCTAAAATAATTTTATCCAACTTTGCAAAAGACAAAAATAGTTTTGAGTATACAAGCCACTTCCAAACATACAATGAATAGATAATTTCATGTTATAATTGTGTCCTTATGTCTCTCAATGATAAAAAAGAATTTTTTTCTAGCTTAGTACATACGTATAATATATATCTTGAACTTGATATATAAATATCTATTTCAGTGATTAGTGCTTAAAAACCTCTTTAAAACATTTTTTCTAAGTCATTTTTACTAGGTTAATATACTAGAGGCCCGTTAAACAAATTCATGCAGGTGTAGTATCCGTTGGCCTGGCCGGTGATTGGGGCCGGCTAGCTGGAGGGAGGGACCATGGGAAGTTGGCCGGCCATTGGAGTTTGGCTGTGGGAGTGCACTGACCACCAGGGGCAGCTCCTGCATTGAGCATCTGACCCCTGGTGGTCAGTGCACATCATAGTAACCAGTTGACCAGCTGTTTGGTCACTTACGCTTTTATATATATATAGAAGATAATACTTACTGGGCTGCTCCTTCCCTGAGAAGATTATCATTATTAAGCAGTAACCGGACATCTGAAAAACAAATATGTTTTCTACATTACTATTTTTCTTATATTTGAAATTTTTATGCAATGAATATGGTTATTTTGCTCATAAATTAACAGCACCCCCTCAAGATGTAAGCAACATCAAAATATCACTGACAGTCAAAATAAGCAGAAAAACAAAAACATCACTCTGAAGGCCAAAATAACAACAAAAAACATCATGGTATTAACTTAAAAATTGGTTAGGAAATAGAAGAGGAAATGAAATACAAATATACGTTATTAGTTAATGAAGGCAGACTGTACTGTATCTCCAAAGAACTAAAGTGGAGATAGGCTATACCAAAAAGATGGTGTGATAAAATCTGCAAATGACTTAGCACCATGTCTTTACTTAGATAATACTATCATATATTTCAAATGAATTTGCTCTACAGAAATGTGATTAAACAAGAAACTTGTGAGCAGAGTGCAGAAGTAGACATTTCTGTCTTGAGAGTATTTTTAAACAAAAGATTAATTCTGATCTAATTTTATATTTAATTATTATGCAGATATTAGCCTATTAATCATTAAAACATAACAGCCTATATAATAAAGAGGTAATATGCAAATTGACTGTCATGCCATCACAAGAAGGCAATGCCCACAGTGGGGCCCTAACTGCTCTCCCCTGCCGACCTGATCACCCCTAACTGCCTCTGCCTGCCTGATTGCACCCCCCCCCCCCAAAAAAAAAAAAAAGCCGAGCGACTGTCCAACTATCAGACCAGTAGCTATGAAGCACAATGACCACCAGGGGGAATAAGCTCCAATTGGTAGCAATGAATACATGAATAGATGGAACAAGTTGATATTTCTGTGTGTCTCCCTCCCTCCACCCCCTAACCCATGCATGAATTCCATGCCCTATTATATAGTCCTATATAATAAAATCCCAGTGACTAAACGTGGAATGACCAGAATAACTGGTTGACCAGTTGCTATGACATGCTCTGACCACTAGGGAGCAGACACTCAATACAGGAGCTGCCCCCTGGTGGTCAGTGTGCTATCACAACTGACTGGGATGGACGGCTGCTACCACTGCAAATCTTGGGCTGATGGGACTTAGAGGAAATAAGAGTTAGAAATGACAAACTACAAATAGACAATGGAGGCAGCAGGCCCCTATGTGAGCAGGAAAGAGTCAGAGCCCTCCAGGATGTGGCCTAACTGGTAGCACAGCAATTAGGTCAGTGGTCCCCAGCCTTTATTTGGCCATGCCCCATCTAAGCATCTCTAAAATCCTGATGTTCCCCCTGCCCCACCCCGTGACATATAATTCTTATTATTAAAAAAAATGAACTCCTATTCACATGGAGGAAGCCTAAAGGCCATTCACTTAGTCTAAACAAGCTTTCTAAGAACATGGCATCCATGAGAGAGAAAAATAAAAGAATGAAAGGACAGTTGAAGTATTGAGGAAGAAATCACTAAGAAATTATAAATAAAAAAAATATGAAAAAATAGGAACTAAAGTTTTAAACATATGATAGAGAACTGAAATGCATAAATAAGTCATGATATCTATTTATATATTGTATAGGAGGCTCCAGGAACCATAAGAAATGCAAAAAAGTCAGATAACAACTCATTCTTGAATTGCCCCCCTTAAAAATCAAATTACCCCCCTGTGGGGCATGTGCCCATGCTAGGAACCACTTACCTAGATGAAGGGGCCTTATTGTTTAAAGGCACATTTTTTGAGACATGAGAGAATGGGTGGCGTGCTGCCTGACTAGGGACATTCCCCCCCAAGGAGTAATATGTCCTGTAAACCCCCAAATATCGGGGCATTCAGTTCAGTTTCGGCCAGCTGAGTGGCCCATTCAGGTTCTATCTGAGTCTATTTCTTTCCTACAAATAAATCCTCTCCTGTTTTAGCTGCCTTTGTTGTCTCTTGTTTGAATTCATTCCTACAAGGAAGACAAGAACTGGGGGCGCAGAGTACTATGTCTGGCCAGAGAAAGCCCCTTGACCACCACTGACATCATCCAGCCAGGGCAACAGATTAAACTTCTTAATAAACATGTTAAAGTAGTTTACTGTGGGGTAGAATGTTTTAAAAAATGAAATTAAAAAGTCCTGTGTAAATTAATTTTAATTTAAGACATGGTGAAGGCCAAATAGATGAGGTAGAAATAACACATGTAAAATATTTGTGGTAGGTTAGTCTTAAAACTACTTAAAGTTTTATAAAAAGATCACTACAGGCCATATTCTTGAAAATTGTTTTAACCATGTGATTCTTAGTGTTAAAGAGAAGCTAACAGCTTTTACAGCAACCAGGAATTTCTGTAAATTTAATAGTTTCAATTTTTTATAGATGAATAATTATATAAAAGTGAGGTTTATAAAAGGCATACTGTAAACTAATTTATGAGATATAATTTAAATAATGAATTATTTTTACATGTGCTGTAATCTTCTAAGTATGGTGAAACAATGTCTTCCCCGCTCCCTTTTTTTTGGCTTCTCATATTAATCCAGTATGTTTTTCTTTACAAAAATAAAAAAATGGCCTGGTCAGTGTAGCTTAGTGGTTGAGCATTGACCAAAGAAGCAGGAGCTTAAGGTTCAATTCCTGGTCAGGGCATATGCCCGGGTTGTGGGTTTGATTGCTAGTAGGCAGCTGATCGATAATTCTCATCACTGATATTTCTATCTCCCTCTCCCTGAAATCAATTAAAAACATTTTTTTAAAAAGAGAAATACAAAAATGAATTTCCCAATTCCAAAAAACAGTTAAAATTAAAATTTTCTTGCTTTTTAAAATAAATTTTCTTTTAAAGGGATTCATTTATTCAAACATAATTATCATGTGTAGCTTACTAGTAAAAACATTATATTCTAGATATAACAAAATCCAGACTGACAAAAATATTCACTGTAAAGGAAAAAATAGTTCTCTACATATTCCCCTTAGCTTAATTGTTTTGGTTATGTCATTTACTTCTTTTTTTTTTAAATGCTTAATATATCAAGTCTTAATATTATGAATTAAACACTTACCATTAAACACTTCATTAAATTCTCCAGGAGGAGCATGAATGATGAATTTTGCTGCTATACGCACCTAAAATAGAAATGAAGATATAAATGTCCCATAGCATACATAGGCCTCTATCAAAACAAAAACAAAAAATTCAAAATTATGCTATTTTAAAGTTCCATTAAAGATGGCTTAAGAAAATTCACCCAACCACCTAGTTTATTATTGTTTTAATCATTTACTACTATCTATACTAATAAAAGGGTAATATGCTAATTAGACTGGGAGACCTTCCAGATGTCCTTCTGGACAAAACCATGGTGGTGGGGCCGAGGCAGAGGCAGTTAGGATCGATCAGGCCAGAAGGGGAGGGCAGCTGGGGGTGAGCAGCCAGCAGGCATTGACCACCTCCTGGTCTCTCCCCCCAGCCTGATTGCTGGATGGCCAACAGGAAATCACGGGGAACCGGGGTAGCGGCCGTGGGGCTGGAATGGAGACTCGCGAGTGGGCAGAAGATGGCCCTGACTGCAGTCTAGGTGTAGGGATCTACCCATGCACGATTTTGTGCATTGGGCCTCTACTTATAATCATAATTTACAGGCTGAATGTAGATAAAATATATGAAAGTCTCTATAGCAACCTAACTTTACATTACAAAAAATTACAAAAGAACAAAATAAAGCCTAGTTAGTAAAATAAACCAATCACATCATTTGGCAGAACGGAGGATCACTCTAGCCTCTTGATATAATAAAGCTGGCCTCCCATGGCCTCTCTCTGTCCTGGAGTGCGACTCCCATGTGGCCCTGCATTGCATGTTTCTGTCCCCCTCTCCCAGGCTAATAAGCATATGTGGTTAATAAACTGTTCATCTCATCTATTCAGTGTCAGGTATGTTCAGCCATCCAATAACCCCATGGCAGGAACACATTCCTTACCAACAGTAAAGAGGAGATAGGTAAAATAAGAACTTAATTACAGGGGGAGCTTGAATTTAAGATATGTTACTAGGGACTAGAAAGCAATGAACTCAGTTAAGCAAGGAAATAAATATGTATTTATATATACATATATCTATATATAAAAAAGCCTAAGCAACCATCTGACCGGTAGTTATGACATGCACTGACCACCAGGGGGCAGACACTCAACCCAGGAGTGGAAACCACAGGCATGGAAATGTGGAACAGACTGATGAATCTCTGAGGGAAGGGAGCTGGGAGAGGGCTGGAAGAGATTAATCAAAGCTCTTATATGCATACTCGAGGCCTGGTGCACGGATTTGGCACTGGTGGGGTCCCTTGGCGTGGCCTGCAGGGATCAGGCTGAAACTACCTCTCCAATATCCCCCAAGGGGTTCCAGGTTGCGAGAGGGCACAGGCCAGGCTATGTGTACTGAGCCTCTAGGTGTAGGGGTGTGTGTGTGTGGGTGTGTGTGTGGGTGTGGGGGTGTGTGTGTGTGTGAATAGGCATAAGTATACATATATAGTGTAAATGTTACAAAGGCATGATAAAGTTCTTCATAGATCTTCATTTTTATTTCAAATATAAATTTACAAAAGTGTGTTTATCTAGTTTCCTATTCTCCAATGAATTGGAAGGGAGGACGGGAAAAGTTGAAATACATTTTATTTTATTTTAAATTATTTTTTAAAAATATATTTTTATTGATTTCAGAGAGAAAGGGAGAGAGATAGAAATATCAATGATGAGAAGGAATCACTGACTGGCTGCCCCCTGTATGCCCCCTAATGAGGAGTACACAACCCAGGCATGTGCCCTTGGCTAGAATCGAACCAGGTATCCTTCACACCAAAGGCCAATGCTCTATCCACTGAGTCAAACCCGCTAAGATGACAATTACATTTTAAAAAGAACTTGAGCCTATTTGACAAAGACTGTGTTAAATGAAGTTCCTCTATAAGAATGAAAAACTTACAAATCAAGTCCTGAAATCCAGAAGCTAAACAAACCTCTTGAAAAGAGAACTCGAACGTTTTTAGTAAATGAATTTTTGTTTAAGAACAAGTGCAAGCCCAACTGGTGTTGCTCAGTGGTTGAGCGTCGACCTATGAACCAGGAGTTTACAGTTTGATTCTTGGTCAGGGCACATGTCTGGATGGTGGTAGGCATACAGGAGGCAGTTGATCAATGATGCTGTCTCATCAAGCTGATCAATGATGCTCTCTCATCAGTGGTGTTTCTATCTCTCTCCTCCTCTCTGAAATCAATAAAAATATATTTAAAAAAATAAGTACAAGCTTACATCAATAACCTTTTCAGATGAAAATAATAATCAGGGTTTTTAATTATGAGACAATATAGATTAACATTTCAAAACCTTCAGATTTATTGGCAACTCTACTGAGTGATAAAATAACTGGGAAAAATCTTGTGATGTGGCCAGACAAGTGGAAGAAAATGAATTTAATCCACAATATTAGACAAACTTCTTCCACTCTTCTCTACTCCCTGCCCTATAGAGAACTCCTTGCCAGTTCAAAAATTAGAAGATTAAAATTAGGTTAAGTCACCAAAACCGGTTTGGCTCAGTGGTAGAGCATCGGTCTTTGGAAAGGTCCCGGATTCGATTCCGGTCAGGGGCATGTATCTTGGTTGCGGGCACATCCCTGGTAGGGGATGTGCAAGAGGCAGCTAGTCTATGTTTCTCTCTCATCGACATTTCAAGCTCTCTCTCTCCCTTCCTCTCTGTAAAAAATCAATAAAATATATATTTTTAAAAACTATTAAAATTAGACTAAGTCGTGAGAAATAGTCTTTGATGGAGAAAATTAGAAGACCTGGAAGTAAAATGGACTTTCTCAAAAATGACATCAGGGTAGTTTATGATTCTTTCAACCTTCTCTAGATCAGAATTCCCACAAATATCAGAAAAAAACGTGGGCAGAATTCAGTTGTAAATTATTAAATTATTCAGACAAGGGAGAAACAAGGATATTCATTTTTCAATATCAGATGAAGTTGATTCCACTATTTTAAAAGAGAATTCCCCAAATTTTTTTCTGTAGGCAAGAATGTCACCTTATTGATCAAGTTCATTTTGATAAATCTCATAGGAAATTGTTTCCTGCTTTCTACCAAGCACTAGCGCTACTTTCTTTTTGTAAATGCTAGGAAATAGCCATTTAGGATCAGAGATGTCTCAGATTGCAGACAGTGAAAAAAGTATTCTGTTAATGCTGGGATGCAGCCTGCCAAATTGTTCATGTGCTGCAGGCCAGAGGGAGGATGCTTCTCATATTATACAGACCATGCCTGTACCCTGAGCCTACAGTCAAAAATCAGTGCCTCTAGAGGAGCAAATAATATTGACAGGTTGGGTGGCATTGACATGTCATGTTGATGGGAAGATATTAAATACAATACCCAGAAAGAATATTGCTTGGCGCTAAAGCCTGTGGAGGCCTTGTTTTTCTCGAGTTTCAATATATTTTTCTTTCAGTGTTGCAACAGACTTTAATGGAAGAGAAGGCACATTTGGTATAAGAAGCTGTGATCAAAATCCTTTGAGTTGTTGCTCTCAGTCTTGGGTGATCCCCCAGAAACAATAGTTAGTACACAATATCAAGTGTTTATATCCTATGTTACCTGGACCACAGAATTTGAAAATGTACAATCTTACGTTAAACCTACACTGCTGAGTAAGACTGAAAAACTTCCACGGGAAGAAAGCCAGATGCACATGAACTGCACATAGAGCTTTCTGTCTTGTAATCCTTGATTCTGTCCCTCTTTGCATTAGTGCTTCAGAATTCACCTTTCTCAGCAATGCCAAACTTCATGGTGAAATGGCACAGGTAGAAGTGATTAGGCTATGTTGCCTCTATAAGATGTGTTTGTTACTGGAACAGATAAGCATCTGGCAGTGCCACTTCAACTTTACGCTTGCTAGCTACAACATGAAGGAACAATAGGGTGGGAGAATTTTTTATGGGTAGCCAAATAATTGTTGCCAGCAATTTATAAAAACTGTTGGAAAAGTTAATGTTATTTCAACTATTTGTGTTCATGAATTCCCCCAAATTTTTTAATGCTTTTGATAGACACTGTAAATTGGCAAGATTTTTACAAACATTAAGGTAAAATTATAGTTCCAAGAGATTTTAAAACTATATGAAGAAAAGTTTAATTCTTTAGCAGGAATGGAGTCCTCATCAAAGAAGCTATAAGTACAGTAACCTGACAAAAATTTAAGAATTTTTAAAAAGCCTTGAGCAACTGAAAAAAAGGGAGGAGATGAAAGTATAAAAAGCAGACATACATACCACAAAAAATAGCTATATGGAATCCAACAGTCCTGCAATCTACACTAACTTCAAAGTATACTGCACAGAAAATAAACTAAAAATAATTTGTAATTCATCTTAATTCAAATTTAACTAGGAATCCTATATTTTATCTGGGAACCCAGCCAGCAACCCCTTTAATTTCCTTATGTTAAACATTATCACACATAGTTATCTCCTCCTTCACTAAGGCAGAAGACATTAGGGTAGAGATTTCCCAAATCAGGATTCACTGGAAAGCTTTAAAAAGAAAACAACAACAACAACAACAACAACAACAGAGACCCATGTTCCATTCCAGATCTACTGAAACAATCTTCAGAGGATTAAGACCTAGAAATCTGCCTTTTAGAAATGTCCCTCTCCGCCCCCCCCAACACACACACACACACACACACACACACACACACGGTGATTCTGATGGATAGCCAGTTACTACACTGCCTCATAAGGAACTCTATGCAAAACCTGAGGTGTTTGGTCTTCTAAGGCAGTGTTTCCCAAACTTCTCTCATGATGAGAATCACCTGGTGGAGTTGTTAAAATACAGATTCCTGAATCCCAACTAAGAAGTGCTAAAAATTTTTGGGAACATATAGTAAGGAATCTGTATTTTAACAACTCCACTAGGTGATTCTCATCATTAGAGAAGCTTGGGAAACACTGTTCTAAGGAAAGGAACCATAGGGTTCACCTGATTCTCAATATGATTCCAAAGGGTCACTCACTGCCTTATAGATGGTTAGTAAAGATAAAAATAGATAGTAAGCATTTTTC